CCGGCAAACCGTGCACCATCTTCTCCTTCTGTAGTTTTTCTAGAGCAGGAAAGTCTAAGTGTCGGTACTTGTGCCACCTCCAAGATACCTCTTCGGTCTTGGCCGAGAGGCTGACGGGTTGCTCTATCTCTAACTCCAGGATGTAAAGACAGTTTGTCGTGCCCGTACTTGTGCCACCTCCAAGATACCTCTTCGGTCTTGGCCGAGAGGCTGACGGGTTGCTCTATCTCTAACTCCAAGATGTAAAGATGGTTTGTTGTGCGCTCAACTTGCGTGAACAAACCGTTGTCGATCATCGCAGATTTTGAGTAGCCCGCACTCGATGGAAATGAAGCAGCCGGCCTCATCGAGTTGACCTAGGCTCACAAGGTTAGCCTTGAGCCTCGGGATGAAGTAGACGTCGGTTAGCTTGCGGTGCTCGCCTCCTTTGCTGATGAACGGGATGGTACCGCGCCCTTCGATTTCGACGATAGAGCCGTTGCCGAATTTCACCGTCCCACGAATTTCCGAGTCGAACTCGGGGAACGCAGACGTAGCCCCAGTCATATGGTTTGTTGCCCTTGTGTCGAGGACCCATCATCGGTGCTCATGCTGCTCGTCGATCTAAGCGAACGCTTACTCCTCCTTCAGTTGAATTGGCTCCCTAGCTAGTGCCTTTGCTACGCCTAGCTGGAGCTCGGGTTCTACGCTCACCAAAGGAGCAGTTACGCCATCATCGATTATCTCCACCTCCGTGGATTTGGAATCGAAACTAGGGACGTCAGATAAGACCGATGCACTTACCATGAAGAGAGCTGGCTCGTCCTTCTCCTTATTCCTAAGCTTGCTCCAGCAATTTTTGCTTAGGTGACCTCTCTTCCCATAGTTCGAGCACTGGATCGGCCTGCCATCGATCGACTTCTTTTTTTTATCAACATCTTTCCCGCGCGTGTCTTCCGCTGCTCGACGTTACGCAGTCTTCCGGTTGCGACTTGTTCGAGGTGATCGGGGATGACCTGCAGCATATTCTTCACGATTTCTGTCTCGCAGTCTTCCGGTTGCGACTTGCTCAAGGTGATCGAAGACGACCTGCAGCATATTCTTCACGATTTCTGTCTCGCTGATGCTGGCTACCGAGAGTGGTGATACTGTTGACGAGCCCCGTGATCCGCATTGAAAAATAATCGATGGATTTGCCGTCCTTTAAACGGGATCTTCAAGAGCTTCTCGATGTTGGATTCCCACACACGTTGTACACCAACGCGACGGGATTTGATTCCCTCCCAGGTCAATTGCGCAATGCGTTTGGTGGAGAGAAACGCCAGCCCGAGATTGACCTCACGATGTGTGAATTTTCACGCTTTGCATTTTATTCTATTCGAACCTTAGGTCGACGCTCTAACCACTTGAGCTATTCAACTTGACTGTTGATAAGGTTGGCTCCTCCGCAATGATATTCCACCGATGGCTTCAATCGGGCTCTGATACCACTTGTTGTTTTCCGACAATCGGCAAGGGAAATTCTTTTCTGGTGTGAGAGGAAATTCTTTTTCTAAGGGAAAATCGACGGGAAGAGAGAAAAGTCGTTGGAAGAAAATAAAACGCTTAAAAATAAGAGAGTGAGAATTGCAATTTGACTTTGCTAAAAAATGAGGTGATTTTTTTTCTCACCGTATTCGTTCTTTAAATAATTAACTATCCTAAAAATGGTCGAGGCAACTAAATTGGTAATCGATTTGGCCTGTTTGTAAAACGGTCAATATTTAATCAACTAATTAAAACGTGTAAATCTAAATAAGAAAATCTCAGGCTTTTATCCAACAGTCGTCACTCATTCTCTCAATGTTCTCGATCACTTGAAGATTGCAACTTCTTTCCACCTGGCTCTAATACCAATTGATAAGTTCAACGGCAGATTGTTAGAGCAGAGAACATAAACAATTAGATTTGGATCTCAAGTGTCGTTTTATTAATTCTAAGCATGACATTATATAGCCTTTACAAAAAGATAGAAACCACAAATAACTTTAGTTAAACATAAAAATATAAGCAGAAAAATCCTAAGAGTCTCAAAGAATAGGACACCCTAAAGACTAGAACTATAGTTGAAACAGAAAACTAGACCAATGACTCCTAACAGTAAAGTATAAATGGTCAAGGTCGAGTATCCTTATTGGGTATTGTAATTTCAAGTGTAAAGTATTAAGGATCGATATGCTAGTATTGGATAAAGTGGAGCGTCGAAATCTCAAGTATAAATTGTCTTGGATCAAACATAAAGTTCTATAGGAAAGGGCATTGGCGCTTTGAATATAAATGGTTAGGGTCGATCGGTCTGGTCTCGTTTCAATAGAGTAAAGGTTGATAAGCTTGGTTATACTTAATACGAGACGTTATGGGAGAGGGACCATAACTAGTAGCTGGTTCACTAGTGATTACCTGACGGGACCATGGCTAATGGAAATCGAAATTGTTGGCCCATTGGCATCAGGTGTGTTGATAACCGTTTGATGGTCTTAATGCCACGTGTACATTGGATATAATATCTCTCAATGGCACAATTTTACACCGCAAAGCATGTGATTGCTAATTCCACCGTCGTCTTCAACCTTCCCTCCCTTACCGATGTGGGCTTCTGTTGTTACCATCTGCGGCATCAAATTTATGCGCTGCCGTCCTCTTTTGCTTCCAAGAATCTCTCCTTCTCTATTTTCCATGGATAGGAGCAATACCTCCTCCTTTTCTTCTTTTGCTCATTCCAGTAAAAGGTAAGTATGCTCCTTCCTTCATCATCATCTTTGAAACTGGCGGAATATCGAAGGAAATCTAAATCGTTTTCTCTGCGCCGTTTTTCATATTTTAGAATCTTGAGTTCCTATGGTTGTTTTTTGAAATCGTAGAGATGGTTATTGATTTTGTTCTTTGTTTTGATTTTTTCAATTAGCGATGGAAGAGGAAGAGGTTTGGACATGAGGAGTGACAGAGAGAGCACGAGAGGGCGCGGTGGAGGAGGCGGTGGCTCTGGTAAAGACAAAATTGATGCTCTTGGTAGACTCTTGTAAGCATATTTCGTCCATTGGTATCTTGTTTAGATGTTAATTGTCTCGGATTGGTTGTCAAACTCATTGTTTATTAGATTAAGCTTATGAAAGACTGTGTCCATTCTCTTTTATTTTGAGTTGTGTTATTTGTGGCGAAGCATAGGTATATGTACATTTGGTGATTCATGAAGCTGAAGCTTAATTCCCTAGAATGGAGATACACAGGATAGGAAGATCAAGCTTTAAATTGAAAGCTTAAATCAAATGTTTTAATCAGTTATGCACGTTGCGTTGAACTTGAGAAAATTCCAAGGGGAGTAGAATACAGTCTCATGGTCTTAATGTTATATTCATTTCTAGTAGTGCTGTTACTTGTCACCATATCTTTATAAATTTGGGTGGTTCTTTTTAACAATTTTGAGCTAAGTTGTTGTGAGGGTTCCTATATCTTACTGTTTATGATTGGCTGGTGCAAAATGAATAAGCCCGAGTAAATGATTGAGAGGAATTCAAAAGTTATGCATAATGCATATAAGATTTGTTCTTTATAGCAGTGTGATATGGTTTATATGTTTATCGATTGATATTTGCTCCTTTTATCTTCAGAACACGCATCTTGCGACATATGGCTTCTGAGTTAAACTTGAATATGAGGAGTGATGGATATGTCAAACTTCAGGATTTGCTAAAGTTGAATTTGACAACATTTGCCAATATCCCATTGAGATCGCACACAGTTGATGACATAAGGGAGGTTGGTCGGAGAATTTTCTTCTTTAGTTGCTTTCGCATGACTTTAATATGTAGAATCAAACTGATGTGCAACCTACGCTTTCCATTGCTCAACAATGCTGTTAAAGGTTGTTTGTTCTATTTATTTATCTTCTAAGCTCAATTAAAATTTCACTTCACATCTGCTCTACACTGCAGTTTTGATCCTTTATCCTTCCTTTTTCTCTCAACTAGTTCCACTAATCTATTTCCTCTTCCACGACTTGTAAATTTCAGTTCAGTTTTGTTTCTGTAAACATCTAGTATTGACGAGTAGTTTTTTTTACCTTCAATGCCAGGCTGTTCGGAAGGATAATAAGCAGCGTTTTAGCCTCCTGGAAGAGAATGGAGAGCTCTTCATTCGAGCAAACCAAGGCCATACTGTCACGGTTATTTTCTTTCTTTATAAACCATCAAATTCATTACTGTTAGAAAGTCTTGGGGGATTGGCAGTCAAGATCATTCATTGCAAAATTGTTGATTGCTTCACATTAGGTCGAATGCATTTGATTCTTCTTTATATTGACTTATTAGTAATATATGAAATGAAAAATCCGTTTCAGCTGGTTACTGTTGTTATTCTATTTTGTGACGTCAAATGGGTGTAGTGTTGTATAAAACTTCCTCAACTCTTGTACGATTGTGATACTGGAATCAGATTGACTATTTTGTGTACACCATCATGAATGGAAAAAACATCCTTTGCAGGTGGTTGAAACTGAAAGTTTATTAAAACCGATTCTTTCGGCTGAGGAGGTTCCAGGTACTGCGGTTTGATGCCTCAACTTTCCTACTTTTTTCACATATCACCCTTTCCTCCTTGATGTGCATGATGGGAGTATCCATGTATTTTAAACTTCCAATTTTGTTATTCAATTAATCACTTTTTTTCTCCCTCTCTTTATGACAGTTTGCGTACATGGTACTTATAAAACGAATTTGGAATCAATTCTGGCATCTGGTTTGAAACGCATGAAAAGATTGCATGTCCACTTCTCATATGGTTTGCCAACAGATGGAGAGGTTATCAGTGGTAAGTTAAGAAAATCTAATTGTTACGCTTTCTTAAGAATGTTTCCGATAAAACCATGACGTCACTTTGATCAGCACTTGCTACTTTAGTAAATATACATTTATTTTTTGTAGGGAATAGAAACTGGTTTCTTTGACTGATGAAAAAGATTACAAAAATTCCTACCGTACATAATTACAAACATACCCCCAATGTGTCTCGAGGGACGATAGACTATAGTTACAAATGACGAAATCGTTTTCCATGTTTAAGCAAGAAAAGATTATATGCGAAGTTTAGGTGCTTTGTTGCTTATCTGTGAAGATCTGTGCATTTCTTTCCTGCCATAAGTTCCAATAGAAAGCCCAAATTACTCTCTTTCATAGGATCTTTGTCTCTTTCTTGAATGGATGGCTGATGAGGGACGCATCAAGGAGGGTGAAAGTATCTCCTGGTCTTGTAAAACTCCACCAAAGGCATCTTGTAAGAAGTTCCAGAATGTTGAATTGTAGGTAGACTGGCTAGATAAATGAATTCGTCTCATGATTGTTCATCATTAGTGGCAGCAACTTGGAGAAATTGTAATCCATGGAGATTTTCAAAGTGTTAATGCAAGCATGACTTAGCTCTCAAATAAGGAACTTGACATCCTTGAGAGATTGCCCCCTCCGTAATAGTTTGTAGAATTTGAATTTTACCATATTGCCGGTAGATGCAAGCTGTTTGGTTAAATAACCTGTGGTAAAAGTCCCACTTTTCTGAAAAGTTCACACCCACCAGTTCCCTTTCTCCGACTGAGTAACTCTGCAAAAGGTGGGATAAAGATGCCCATTCATCCATTTCCATGGAGTATATATTTCACCTCAAGAGTAAATTTCATGATTCAGTATTCCAATTCCACAACTCTGTAATTGATAGGGAGAGATGGTTAAGAATGGGATATTCTTCGAATTGCATACCTTCACCCTCTTTCATTTTCGTTCCATGTCTGGTTTATTTCGTCATTTTCATAAAAATTGAGCATACTGTTCATCATGCTTATTATCAATAAAATTAGCTCATTTCGGTTCTGAACTTTCGTATTATGCTTCCTATAACATGCTCCAATACGTACTATAAGCTCACCTTAATCCGAAGTTCCTAGGTGCTACTTATTTAGTTCGGTTGTTACTTTGATGGTCGGTTCGGGTCCTTAATGAGTTTCAAATTTCTTCGAATTTTTCAATAGGTTCTAAATTAAGAGAAAATATTAAAAACATTAAAATTGGATCGGAAATTGGACAAAAACCGGCCAAGTTGGGTGAAAATGTCAATGTTTTGTGCAACAGTGCATGAACAGTATCATTCCTTACTCCTAACCTCCAGCCATGAACAATATTTTGTATTTTGAACCTCCCAGTTTCCTCAACTCTGATGAAGGCCTTACACACCTCAATCCTTCACACTTCACCACGAACCTATTGGGACAAGAATCATGCAATTTCGTTAAGAATAGAAGAGATTATTGAGTTTCGAAGTCTCGAGAAAACTCGAGAATGAACCTTCAATCTCTCAACTTGATCTCTCCCTACAAGTACGTTCAAGTCTCAGTTCCTTTACAAATTGTGTAAAGCTTCCTCACACAAAACTATAGCCACTGAAATCATGGAAATCCATTAACATTTGAGGTAAAATCACTTGAAGAAGATTTGGTTCATAGCCACGAAAACTTACCTCAAATTCGAATTCGAATCCCTCCTTCTCGTGCCTCTTTGCTCCAGTTCTTTCCTCAATCCCTTACCGTAGGATCCTCCAAGTTTCAAGTCCAGAGCTGGCCCCAATCATCACAAATCTCTCCTCAAAGATCGTTGGCTGTTCTTCTGCCTTCTCTTTTATTTATTTATTTGTTATTTGTCATTTGTTTATTATTTATTTTAAGTTTCTTTTTTGAAAAAAAAAAACCTTACATAGCCTTAGAGTGAACTAAAATTGGAGAGCCAAGGCTAACTTGTTTCCTCTTTTTGGAAATCGACAGGTATGAGACGCAACGTTAATGTTTTAATCTTTCTTGATGTCAATAAAGCTCTGAATGGTACTGCTGAACCCTCTTTTATTTTCATTTGTATAATACCGATGATCTCTAATGCCTGTTTCTTGCTAAAACATTGTATTTCAGATGGAATGAAGCTTTACACGTCGGACAACAAGGTCATTCTGACCGAAGGTTTCGACGGAGTGGTGGCAGTCAAATACTTTCAAAAAATCGAGTCATGGCCAAATCGACAACCAATTCCATTTTGAGCCTGGATGAGATGGTGTACATGATCAATCATTTCATGAAAATATTGCATTGTGTTTAGATCTAGAGACAAGATATTAACACGTTCATTATTTTAGTCTGGAAATTTCTTATTAGATTTGCACCAGATTCTCCTATGCTAACTTTTATAGCTCGGGTTAGCTCGGGTTTCATATGAATTTCGAACTTGGGGAGTCTTCGCATTTAAGTTGGCAGCAAACAGTTCTGTCCTTCTTATGAACATGATGGTGGATCTTTCATGAAGATTTGGCAACAAGTTTAGATTTGTTCATGAAGCGATGAAAGTTAGTATCCAAGTCTGTGGAGAGTGATATGAGAAAGCAGCCTCTAAAGAAGTGTATGATGATATTTCTTCATTTTTGATTCAGTTTGTGTTGGTGAGTGAAGAGTATGGTTAACAATTCTGATGTAATGCAACCTGTACCACAGGACTTGATTTATGAAATTTCTGATAATAATAATAATAATAATAATAATAATAATAATAATTATTATTATTATTATAAAAAAAAAGGAAAAAAAAAGGAAGACACCAACTTAGCGATGTTTTGATTTTATTAAGAATTAAATAAAAACAATAAATAGGAACTCTACCTTTTGAAGTATTCCTAGCTTGCAACGCTCAAATTGTAAAAAATTATTATTAAAAATTAACTAATCAATTACGAAATTATGGCAACGAAACGGGTCTCCGATTAGCTAAGAGCAACTCCAAGCTTGAGGAAGAATATGATCTCACTAAAGCAACCAAATGAAAGCAAGGCCTAATTGCTTGCTGCACTTCGCGCGCAGGAATGGACCTTAGCCAATTATCGGCTTAGGCTTTCGCGAGAGCACCAGTAGGCACGCGTAGGTGGGTTCTCCCCTATTTTTTGGCTGTTAAACTTGGATGGGTCTAGGCACGAGAAATGAGCCATGCAAGAGACCGTTAAGCGGAGCCTTGTCGGAACATCGGGTTACCTAAATTGAGACTTTTGGGCATAAATTCCAACAATTTCTCACTTGCACTAAAGTTGATGGGACATGTGTCCTAGGGCAAACTCTATACTAACTCGTCATCTCACTTGCCCTACACAAGATGAGTCATATCTCTTAGTTCTAAACATTCTAGGTGACTCTCAAACACTTTAGCCTATAGAGTCATTTTATATAAGTCAACAACTAATATCAAAAGTTATCTTGGTCATTATCACGGACAGACTAAATCACATTTGAAACATTCTTCAAATATTTAAAAAATTATCATAGCTATACAAGTCATTTGTTGCTCTAAAAGCAAAAATAGCTCTTACACCATACTTCACAATCTAAGTCTAAGGTAAACTTAATCTTAACATAAATTTGAAGAAATAGTGTATCAAATCTTCAACTCCATACACAAAATAAAAATTTTTCATAATCCATCGATACTCTCAAAACTTTTAATTTTACACTTATTGGTCATACCATTAGTTTAACCGATATAAATCTAACCAACTGTATATTAAACGTTAATTCTCATTTATGTATTAATTGTCTCCCACTCAAGAAAGATAATTAATCATTTACTCTCGACCCTTAAAGCTACTTAGGATACTATTCTTTTAATTTCATATTTGAATGATACATTATCATTTTTGAAATTTTGTATCGAATATTTGACATACAAGATGTTAAAACATAGATATTTATTTATGTTAGATGGAAAGCTTGCCTCATTTCCTAAGCAATTAATAATTTGATTACGATTTATTTAAAGTCATAGGTTATGAGACACTCTATTCAAAGATTTATATATGTTAAATTCATTTGAATAAAGAACTCTTATTTGCTTTTTGATTTTTAATAATAAATCTTGTGTAGATGCATTCTCTTAGATTTGTTTTCACAAAAGAATTCTAAATATTCGTTTTTTAACGTATCTAATATATATATAAAAAAAAAGAATTAGAAAATACTAATAGACTCTAGAATGCTCAACACGAGAGAAAATCACTTTAGCTACATTCTCTTCGACTTTTTGTCATAAGTTCTATTTTGAAGATCTATATCTTCTTGTTTGTACATAATTTTTTTTTTTTTTTTTTTTGTAGATCCGTTTATATCCTATGAGTTTAGCCTCATCAAGAACATCTACGAATCCCTGGATTTTATGACTTTAACGTATTTATCATTTGTCATCCTCCCTCGTAACTATTCTAAGGGTAATAAGCCTTCAACTTTGTTATCTAACATGACAATTCAGATTTCAATAGGATTGAGTCGACCTCATAATTCTCCCATGAGGACGAGACTTATCCGATTAATGACTAGGATCTACTTGTAATTAAATTGTTAACAACATTTGTTAACGATTGTTTTCACTTGAAAATATTTAATTAGCACTATTTTATCTTTGTATTTGTCATACAAATACCTTGTTCTATTTAGAATTAAATAAAAGAATATAGGAATAACCTTCCCTTGGACATAATTTTAAACATATTTAATCTCTTTGGATTAATTTCAGCATATACTTAATAATTCAAATTATCGAACCGTTGTAAACTAAGTTTACTGCTCTTCCATAATCCAAAAATTGTCACCTAATCAATTTTGAAGGGAGTCATATTCATTATGCAACCTCTATTGCTTATCCGAAGAAGAGTATTAGCGTATATATATCTAATATAGTCTTGTTTTCTCCTTAACATAAAAAATTATACTTATACTTAGAGTTGAAATATAATTCCACTTTCTATTAAATATCTGGAATATCTTTTAACGAACAAAAGATCAAGAAACTATGAATTACTGGTGGAAGTAACTTCCGTGATTTGGTCTTTCCATGAGTGGGAGTTACAAGTTGGAATTAGAGCTTAGGTTTTAGGTTCCGTAGACAGTCTAGGATAGTATGGATCTCTCTAGTTCTAGTTCGATTCAGTTGTATCTCCATTCGGTTAGGTAAGTGGTATATAAGTAAGTTGTGTGAGGGTGTTACGTAAAGTTTATAAGAATTGGTTGTGACCAATAATTTATTTGTGTGAGATTATGGTATTATCGAGGAAAATGGAACCAAGTATGTTGAAAGTGGACTCGGAGAGTGAGGAGTAGCCTCTGGAGGGGATTGTTCCAGTAGAGGTGAACCTAGAGTCTATTGTACCAGCTGCATCCAAGGATCACTATTATTACTCTCGAGGCATTCACTGATCCAGAGCCAAGTTAATCACGCATTGCAGGCAGCTCTTGCTGGTTTTTGGAGTCATACAACTCCAACTGCACCCATACCCCTAGTGGTTAAACAAGCAAGTCCATTTGTTGAAGTACCTGGAATGGATGTTCAGACATCAGTACCTCCACCAAATCCGACAGTGCCACAACATTAGTCGACACCACCTGAAGTAATACCATATGATAAACATTTTATGATTGGGGAGAGTGGGTACTTTCATGATTCTATGAGATGAGACGTGAACCACATACTTTTGAAAGTAGAGTGGTAGATCTTGAGGCAGCTGAATGGTGGTTGGAGTCTATTGAAACGAAGTTTAGATACGCGAACAACTTGAAAAGCTACAAGGTTCAATGTGTCACGTATATGCTAGCAGGACCAATTTATTTTTTGTGAAAATCAAAAGAGTCTAATATGGATACTAGTAGAGGTCCAATTTCTTGGTCGGCATTTAAACAAGAGTGTTAAAGTTGTTATTAAATTGGATATAAATACTCCAAGAAGTGACTATAGTTCTAGCACTCAGGTGCGAGTGGAGAGTAAGCGGAGTATACTTAGATGTCTTATGGATCCCAACAGTAGGCAGTATCATGATATATTGATCGTCGACCTCCAAGAATGTGCCGAAATGCGATATATCCGAACGTAGTAAAAATTAAGAGAATTTTTTCTCCGGAGGTGTTGGTGGTCAAACAAGTGCTAGTTGTCAGAATCAGGCCTGAGGTAAAGCCTACGCCGCAACTAGCAAAGTAGTGGAGGATGTCAGTACCGTGGTGACAGGTACTTTACCTCTGTGCGGCTATTATGCTTACACTATATTTGATTCAGGCTCTACACATTCTTTTATTTCGTTTAAGTTTGTTCGTCAAACTCAACTTGAAATAGAGTCTTTAGGCTACGAGCTATCGGTATCTACATCCTCCGGAGTAATATTGATGACTTGTGAAAGAGTGAAAGTTGACAGAGCAATAGTGTCTAGGCAATCTTATATGTGGTTGTTGATGATATTAGATAGGTATGATAATGACATTATCTTAGATATGAATTGACTATTTGCACCTCATGCCAATATTGATTCTTACAAAAAAAAAAAAAAAAAAAAAAAAAAAAAAAAAAAAAAAAAAAAAAAAAAAAAAAAAAAAAAAAAAAAAA